TAAGGGGGTCTGAATACTTTCCGTACCCACTGTATATATGTAATATGGTATAAATACCATGCTTATATGCATGTGTATATAATACAGTAAAGTGCAGTTACATAAGTTAATAATTTATTATAAACTAACTTTTAAACCATCAAATGTCTCTTGTAATGTTTAATGTATATAATTAGAGATAATTTCATTATAATAGGTATTTATGGGGGAATTGAGAACCACATAAGTACAATAAACACACACAAAGTACAATCCTTATACTGTACAGGAAGAGGCAGAAAATCCAAAGGCCTTATTTAGAGCCTCCACCAAAACGATGTAGAAAACAAAAACAGAAACCACTCATGAAAAAGAGAGGTAAATAACAACAAATATAGAAATATAAATAACTACAAATTACAACATATGCCAACAAACCTAGAAATGATATACTCCAAAAACAAACCATATACGGTACATAAAATACATAAAAACAAAGAAAAAAACAAGACAAAATACACTATAACAAGGCAGCATTAAAATGGTCTTTTATAACATGTTAAAGAGGAACTTTAATTTTTTTGCTAGATAGGAAACAACATTCCATAATTTAATACCATTAACTCTTATCAAGTATTGAGATAATCTAACAATTATCAAAGTGGCCACATGCATTGTAAAGGTCAGTCTCCAAGCTTTCAAATGACACCTATTTTGTGTTGATTAAGGCAGATATTTTGAAAAATATGCTTATTTGTTTCATTTTCTTCACTCCGGTTTAGAGGAACTAGGCAGCACTGGTTAGAAGTTGATCAAAATGGCTGGATGCATTCGAAAGTTGAATTTCTAAGCTTTAAAATTATACATAATTATTAAAAAAAAAAAGTTATATAAAATAGACAGAAACATTACAGGTTTTACATTCTGCTTGCCAAGTGTTCATCTGTCACAAAGCAAGGCCAGACACAACAGGTAAGTGCAAACCAGGATGGTTTATTGATATGAGCAGCAGAAGAATGGAACGGGTGATGTAAAGGCAGGTGAGTGTCAACACAGTGAATGATTCCAGGGTTCTTATCGGAGTTCTGATGGTGAGTATCTTATGCCGGTTTCGTTGGAGATCGTGGAACAGAATCCAAGGAGTCCTTGGAGGATCGCGGGAGGAACAGCCGGTAACTCTTTCTAGAAGAATTCAGTAGAGCGAGTCCAGAACAGTTCATAGGAGTGAACGGTAGACCGGACAGTGAGTGACTGAGATGTGTGTGTACTTGTAGTGTGGCTTGATTGGTGACAGCAGGTGCGGGTGATCAGAACTCATGGTAACTGTGATCGGGTGATTATCCTGGATGGTGACTGAAGTGACTGTGATTAATCCCTGACATCAACAGAGCTCTCCAACTGATTTCTTCAATTCATGGGTTTAGGTATTATTTACACACGAAAGACGCAATGGATTGTTTTGATTTTGGGACTCATTTCAATCGTGAGAATCTGCTGTAAATAATGATATGCCATTTCCAACAATCGGAGCATGTTTCATGAAATGATAAGCGTAAAAACCATGAGAATATTGCAGCATGTGCGCATTTGGAGTTGTATGTGTTATAATTCGATGAAGAATATCTTTAGATCTAAATGACACATTTCCATGATCTATGCATGCTTCATGAAGTTATGAATGAAAACGTAACCTATGTTTTTCTCAATTTAATTGTTTCATGTGTGTGATAATATGGTAAGTAATATATGTAGATCCAATGAACGAATTACGGTGAGTTTTGGGCTCCTTTTAATCGGGAGAATTTTCTGAAAATAATGACGTCCAATTTTACATGATCTAATGCATGTGTCATAAAGTTACGAATAAAAGCGCAAATTGAAAGTACAATTATTTGAATTTAATTAGAGTACATGGGACAAAAAAAACATTTAGTAAATTATGATTTTTTTTTGTCATTTATCAGCAAATAACTCAGCAAAATAACTCGGCACTACTTTGGAGTTACTTATGAGCTTTCAAATTATATCCATGTGTTGTTGATCAAGACAGTGGTTTGAAAAATATGATCAGTAATATTGTCGCGGGGTGTCCCGCCCGCGGTACACTTCACTCTACTTATGAAACTATCCACCTTTTTCCTACGCCCCATGATGCTTTGCGCGAATTATGGGTGGAACTTCCGTTACGACGTAAAAAATCATTCACTGCAGTCACAGTGTCGCTACTCATTCATAGTAAGATGTGGAATCACACGCTGACAGAACTTATAAAGGACAACATCAACATACCCGTACCTTCCTTAATAGAGGAATGGGAGGACGATTTAAAAAAGTGGTCGCGCATAAGGTACAGTAGCATTTTTAGCTACTTTGTTGATTCGATTGCTTGTGACGGTAAGGCAATGAGCAATTTGAAAAGCTCAGAGGCTTACCAATACCTCCACAGTAATAAAGTAGGTCGTGTGCTATTCAAAGATGTGGGCAATGATTTTGTGTTCTTAAAAGCTGATGTAGAGCCGAGTCAAAGCCTGAATGTGTCACACCATAAAGCTTGGGTTTTAGTGTCTACGTCAGGTGTCATACAGACAGCAGGGCGCTCATGTAGTCACGCAGCTGCAGTAATGTGGAAGGTCAGTAAATACATGTAAAGAGCTGATACATGATGAGGTCTCTCAAATAACCTGTGTTTAACAACAATGTACTAATATTTAAATGTATAATTTGATACAATGCACTGTGCAAATACATTTTTACTCTGTAAAAACTAAAATTATCAAAATGATAAAACATCTAAAATTACACTGCTAACCATACCCCTTAAACCTACCCATACAATGGAACCTGTGCCAGCCTTACCCAAATCACACCTCAGTGGCATCAAATGTAAAAAAGATAAAAAAAGGGTAAAAAAAATAAAAATTCTCCCCATATGTACATAGTCGTTAAAGACACCTAATATGAAGTGGGATTGATGATGATGATTGTACTATATTATTAGTATTACCATTAGTATTAGGCTAGTAGTAAAAGCATAATCTGAGTGCTAACTAATGTGTTTAACATCTAAAAGCTACAATCCTAGGGAGGCAAGAAAATAAAAGAGTAAGAAAGACTATTATTTCTTCTATAAAGGTAGAGAATGCAGTCAGGCAAGCTAAGACAGGCATGTCATGCACTGATGTGCAAAGGAAGTGGAATGCAGGCACGAGGAAGAATGTAGGGCTGAGGAAGGCAAAACACATCAACTTTAAAAGCCATAGACCAGGCCACACATATCCAGGCCCCCCCAGCATTTCAAGAACCATGCTGAGTTTGTAAGCCATAGCAGTTCATCTGTGATGGCACCATTGTTTCAGCTGCAGACAGAAGGTCTTCTTCAGCCAAGCTTCAGAGCAGATGTAGACCGCAACAAGACCAGCTCAAGTGAACATGATGAGCCAGTTTCGCTTAGCTTTGTCTTCTATAGGAAGGCGATGAAAACTGTACCTTCTCTCGCAAGTGCATTCCGCTCTAACTTTAGGTTTGTGTATATAGCACTGTTCTTTAAGCCACAAATTAAGCTTCGTCTGGTTACAAGTGCATCCACGGACAGCACAGGTTGTTCCAGAGCTTTATTCCCCCATTTTAATATATTCCCACCTGAAAAACAAACCGCACATAAACAAAACATTTCACCGTCGGCGCAACTCAGTCAATGCTGCTACTACCCATAATCGTTTTTACAGCAGCGCCCCCAGGAAAAAGGTGGATACAGTAGAAAATATAGATCTGAGTATTGGACAGTTTAATTTTTTGCACTTATATCATTGTACTATTAAAGCATTGTATGTTTAAAGATATAAAGGATATTAAGCTATATATAAGATATAAGGACATTAAGCTGCTGACTAGTCTGAGGTAAGTACAAATTGAAACAACTTCAGTCAGAGTAATATATTGTCTCTTTAGTAACCACTGATTTCAATTTGGAACCCATTTAAAACACTGAACTTGTAAGATCATAACAGGACTTAAAGGGATAGTTTGCCCCAAAATGAAAATTCAGCAATTTTTTTCACTCTCATGTTGTTCCGAACTTCTCTGAGTTTATTTCTTGTCTTAACACGTTGAATATATGTATTTAACGCGCTGATTTTTCACGCGTAAACAACATGTATTTAACGTTTAATGCGTTGTTGACGCGTTAAAATTCACGTGTTGTTGGCCTTTTTGGCCTTCCATAATCGTTAGATCAGGTTTGGGTTAAACCTCATTGTCTCCTGCTCTAACTAGCGGGGGAGGGGTGCGCCATGTGACGCGCGCTGGTTTCAGTTAGGTCCTGTAAGCAAATGTAAACGGCCTCCCTGGAGCTCTTGTCTATTATTCGTGTTCGTCGCTAGATTGAAACAAGAAGTATCCTCAGCATGTCTGGAAGAGGCAAAGGCGGTAAAGGTCTCGGGAAAGGAGGCGCTAAGCGCCACCGAAAGGTCCTCCGGGATAACATCCAGGGCATCACTAAACCCGCTATTCGTCGTCTGGCGCGCCGCGGCGGCGTCAAGCGCATCTCTGGTCTGATCTACGAGGAGACGCGCGGCGTGCTGAAGGTGTTTCTGGAGAACGTGATTCGAGATGCTGTGACCTACACGGAGCACGCTAAAAGAAAGACCGTCACCGCCATGGATGTGGTGTATGCTCTGAAGCGACAGGGACGCACTCTGTACGGATTCGGAGGATAAAAGCCTGTAAACAGCCACCCACACTCTCACATAAAGAGCCACCCACACTCTCACATAAAGAGTCAAAGTTGAAGTGAAAATAAACGACACACTGCTTGTGAATTGACCCCTTCTGAAAAGTGAGGCTTAATGCTGTTGTGTGTGTTTCTGGGAATGAGTGTAAGTTACTCGTGTCTTTGAGCCGATAACTGATTCTGTAGTTCTTTCTTTTCTTATTTTTATTAGCTGTCTTATCACTCGTTGCTTTTGTGCTGTTGAAGCTTTTGTCACCAAAACAACTATCGTGTGTATAAACACATCTGGCAGTAAAGATCTTTCTCATCTTTCTGAATACTTTCCGTACCCATGTTTTATTTACTCAGACAAACTATATAATTTCTAAGTGACTAAGTTACACATCGGTTATGTTTTGCCTATGCGTGTCGGTGTATTATGAGAAACAAAAATTGTTGAATCTCATCAAATTTGTACTCAGGCAGAATTCTTTCAAAAGACATAGACGATGTTACTGCCTACTCGTTATATTGAGCGATACAGCGGAAACTCTCTCATTCAGTGTGATTGTGGCGGCTCTTAAAAGAGCCTTTGGGGTGTAATGCGGCTGAAGCAGCGGCGGGTTTAAGCGCGCTCTCCGCGAATGCTGGTGACCCTCTTGGCGTGGATGGCGCACAGGTTGGTGTCCTCAAACAGACCGACCAGATAAGCCTCGCTGGCCTCCTGCAGCGCCATGACAGTGGAGCTCTGGAAGCGCAGGTCCGTCTTGAAATCCTGAGCGTTCCCTTTCATGGGAACTTCGAACTGTGTCCTCTAGGGGTCGCTATGGGGAACGCCTCGTCGTGACCCGTGTCTGAAGCATACATTGAAAAAACACCAACTCGTTGGCCGGCGACAGCCATGACGTCACTACCGGTGCGACTATAGCATATATAAGTGCCGGGAGCTACACATCATTCTCTTCTTCGTCTTCATTGACTGTTCTGTTTGAAGCGTGCATTTTCAAGGAAAAAGTAAGAGCTATCTATTTATTATGGCGAGCACTAGTAGCTATCTCTATTCATTATGGCGAGCACTAGCAGAGCATTTAGAAGGTGTGTGCCTCCGTGTCATCGCTATTTAACACCAGATGATACACACGATCTATGTGTTGCTTGTTTGGGCGAAGAGCACTCACGCGATGTCCTCGAGGGGGCAATCTGCGTGCATTGCGAGATTGGCTTTTTCCAATGATAAAGCTCCGTTCTCGTTTGTCT